ATGCTGCTTTGTACCTCAACTAAAACTAACAGGACTTAAGTACTTGGGACAGGAACATCATAAATCAGTGGTTGGGGGAAAGATCAGGAATACTAGCAAAGTAGGCTTGAGCATCAGGTAAAGAATTCTTTGGCTCAGAACACATCAAATTTGAAGCCCCTGTAAGACATCCAGGAAAGATCAATCTATAGGCAGCTGAAAATAGGAGTCTAGAATTTAGGAATGGGTGTGGACCTAAAGATTGGGGGTTAAGAGAGTAGGTGGGAATTGAATTGTGTGAGGGAGGGAGAATGAGAAAAGACATGCTTCACCTTTGGGGGGTGGCTTCTTAGGGGACGCAGAAATCCTAAACATTGTTACAGTAGGAAGAATGGGCCTGAGTACAAGGCCCAGTTAAGGACAACACAAATGATAAAAGCTTATACACACGAAGAGTATCTGTCCTCTAGTACCTCTAGCACCTCCCTCTTTTTTTTTAAGGACTCAAGCATTTTCAGCAGTCTTCCTTAATTTGAGTCATATTAGCCCATCAAATGTTAAATATGAAGAAGCTGGTTAATGGTTCTGGTACATTGATTCTGATTAAAACTTTAGTTACTAACTTTAGTTAGTTTTTCAGGCCCAACTTCGACATTGTATGTCCAAGCAAGCAGAAATGTTAATCAAAGGAAAGCGGCAGACAGAAGGCACTTTACACAATTTGAGGAGACAAGTGGATACTTTAGGGGAATTGGTCACCAGCACCTCTCTAGATTCAACGTCATCAGCTAGTCTGTCTCAGCTGGAGCCTTCCCTTGGAGAGGACTCTCAACTTGGACCAAGTCAGGTAAGAGGAAACCCTTCAAGAGTTTAAAATGTACATGGAGGTAGCCGGGCATTTAGCTCAGTGGTTTTGCCCCCTGCTGCACAAGCGCAAGGACCGGAGTTCGATCCCAGGTACCAAAAAAATAAATAAATAAACCAAATGTATTTTGGGGATTTAGCTCAGTGGTTTCGCCGCTTGCTATGCAAGTGCAAGGACCCGAGTTCAATCCCCAGTACCAAAAAATAAAAAATAAAAATAAAGCATTAAAAAAAAAAAGTTATATGGAGGGCTGGCTCAGTGGTGCCACTGCCTGCCTGGCAAGCACAAGGTCCTGAGTTCAATCCCTGGTACCAATAAAAAAAAAAAAGTTCTATGGGAAGTATTTAAAAGCAGGGTTTATAATCTAGGCAAGACTATATGCCACCTTCAACTTTGGAACACTTGTCTTAGCAAAGACTTTTTGTGGTCTCTGGGAAAACTGAAATCACCTGGCTCATAGATGTAGAAAAAGGAAAAGCTGGGCCAGGGATTTAGCTCAGTGGTTCCACCGCCTGCCTCATAAGTGCAAGGTCCTGAGTTCGATCTCCAGTACCCCCCCCAAAAAAGAAAAGGGAAAACCTCAGATGGCTTAGGAAGTAGGCTAAAACTGGAGATTTGGGGATCCAGTTGTCAGAGCATAGTTAATTCTGTGTCATGTCCTCCACTTCTAGATATCTTTATTTTCTACTTGGTCAATATAAAGGCTTAGTCCTGTGAGATCCGTTTGAGTCCTGTAGTCTTGCTGTCTTGGGGAAAGATGACTGACAATTCCTGTTATTTTGCAGCAAAAAGTTTCAATGCATGTCTCTTAATCCAGAGTCTATAAAAAATGCACTTTTGCAAAGCAGGAACATGATACACTATGGAACTGGAACAATACTAACAATATTAATAGCTTCCATTTTTGAGTGTCTACTGTGTGTGCATAAACACTTTACATGTTACATTCCATTTTATACGTATATCCTGGAAAGTTCAAATTACTCCTGTATATAAGTCAAATGTATGAAATGGTTAAGTGACTTGGTCACACACATAGCACAGGATAAATCCAGGACTTAGAAGTTGAGCCACAAGGAACATTCAAGGTTAACTGTCTCTTTAATATAGGTTCAAGGTGGGGGGCAAGTGACTTGCATAGGTCACACAGCGACAGCAGCACAGCCAAGACTGAATATGATTACCCTCACACCCTGAGCTTCAGGAAGTGTGTGTGAGAGCACCAGCCACTGGGAGCAGGCGGGCTGTGGAGCCAAGACAATGAAGAGCTGTAAGAGCAGAGTATGTGGAGGTTTAGGACCAGGGTTCATTGGTCACCTGATAGAGTTCAGGTGATCCAAAGGCAAAGTAACAAGACACTGGAGGACAGTGGATAGGGGCGAGGTTGTTAGAATTGTTTACAAGTCTGGGATTGTAATCCAGGCCTGAATCAGGTTGGAGCTGGATGCTGTTGAGCCTAACATTTTATTTCCCTTCCTTTCAGAGCTCCTTCCACGTTCTGCAGGGTGCATCAGAACCACCAATCAGTTACTGACACTCATGCCATCAACAGCTTCCTGCTCACAGGGTATGTTAGCGATCGCCACTGGCACTGAGCTAGCTGGAAGAGCTTGAATTCTAAGCCTTGTAAAAATAATTTCTCTCATTTTGTTGTGTTTCATTTTAAAACCATGTTTGGAGCGAGGGATAAGGGTCAGTGGTAGCTAGCTAGCATGTGTAAGGCCCTGGGTTCAACCCCTAGCACCACTGAAGGGAAAAAAAAAAGCAAATATATACCTTAATTTATGTATCAGTGCTGTGTCTTCACTAAGTTTTGTTAAAAGATGTTTTCAGTATTAATTCGTTCTCTACCTTAATGTAGGAAAAGAATGGTTCGCCCAAGATGAGGAATACTGTCTCTTACAATACATCTGAGGAAAAATACCTTTTCTACTACCTTAGTAACTTCCTAATGGGAATGCCATTAGATTTGTAGCAAGATAGTGAATGAAGATGCTGAAAGTCCACAGATGCTCACTGTGTCAGTACCATTAATGCCAAGGTTTTTACAAGTCACTTGTACACATGGAAATAGTTGTACATAATTTAAACCAGGGACCTAGGTGGCCTTTAATATTGGAATTTAATAAAGCCAATGCTGATTCTGACTGCATTATTTGAACCTATATACTGTATTTTCAAAGAAAAAGAATTTCCTTAACTTAAAGCCCTTCATTTATAGTATTATTTTTGTGGTCTACTTAAAATCTATTTTTTGTATGAAAATAAAAGATACAATCAACTTGTCATCTGACTTTATACTTCATAGATCATTCTATAGCAAAGCCACCAAGTCATCTTAATTCCTAGAAAATAACAATCTTGTAGATTTCCTATCTTTACTTAGAGGTTAAAGTAATTTTACTTACCAGTGACCACTTCATGATTCACAAATGTATTTCAGATACTTTGCCTTGGCCAGAAATATTGTGAAAATTAGGAAAACTTAATACTTTGGAGACTGCCCCGTGATAAATTCATATTAAAAATATTCAGACTAGGGCTTGGAGATTTAGCTCAGTGGTTCCGCAGCCTGCCTCACAAGCGCAAGGTCCTGAGTTTGATCCCTGGTATCAAAGGGGAAAAAAAAGTATTCAGACTGCAAATTACTATAATTCATGGCTCAACTCCATGATCTACATTTCTTTCAAAACAGTAATTACTATCCAGTTGTGTGGTAACAGTTATTCCCAAGGAGAAAATATGTAATAGATTCAGTTTAAAAATATTCCCAAGAACTCCTCTTCTAGGCCACTGGACTGCTTTTGAGCCATAGCCAGCGCTGTACGTCACAACACAGGGACATACTACAGTAATCCCTCTCCACTGTTTATGTCACTAAAAAGTTGTTTGGCTAGAACTGAACCGTTAAAATATAGGATAATTATGATAAAGACTGTAGAAGTAGGCTGGGCATGATGGGACACATCTATAATTCCACCACTCGGAGGCTCAGGCAAGAGGATTGCCACAAGTTCAAGGCCAGCCTGGACTACATAGTGAGTTCAAGGCCAGCCTGAACTATAACTATATATATACAGCCTGAACCTGTCTCAAAAAAGCACCCCCCCCCAAAATAAAAGACTATAGAAGTGACATGCAATTTATTAACTGGTACAGTATTTCTAGAAGTTACTTCTTTCCAAAACAAAACATGATTTGTCTTTTGTATTCACATTTGCCTTCATTTCACTTTCTCATGTCTTAGCAAAATGCTTAAAGCCCTGGCCTATTCACAATGATGTTCTTAAGGACACAATTTTCCAGGCCCATGCTAAATGAGGGTAAAATGTCTTCTCTAAACTGCCACACAAACCCTTTATACACCCACAGGAACAAGAATGGAAGGGAGTTTGGTCTTTGCTTCTGTTTCAGGTGAGTGAACGGAACAATTCATCTATTTTTTTAAAAAAACTAGATATATGAACAAAAACATTTTCAAAAAATTTATGTAAGAATTAGATTGAGTTATTGAATACAGTATATGGAACCAAATATTTGATTTCAAAAAACCATTTTTCAAAATAATTTTTACAGTCTGTTAATACCAAAAACCAGTACCCCCCCATTAAGGTTACTGGATCAAATACTTTATTATCCATGAAAAATACTTGAACACTACTGGAATGCATCAACAGTAGCAAGCACCAATTACTAACCAGAGGCCTTGCAGTAAGGATGCCACGTGATCCAGAGGAGCAGGCAACCCAAAGAAGCAGTAACTGCTCAGACTTCATCCTCTGAAATGTTCTGCCTATTGTCTGGCACACATGTAACAATATGATGATCTGCTCTATTTTTGAGCACCCAAGTTTATTACAGGGGATTACACATGCAAATAGTAGGATGTGGCTCCAAGTACAGTCAAGGGAGAACACTATCAGCCACCAATTGTGCTGACCACAAATTAAAGCAGTAACTGAAAACACTGCAAGGGTAAAGCAAATACAAGGACAAAACTAGCTCAATTACTCAGTGGTTTTTTTTTTGTTTTTTTTTTTGCTGCATACATAGACCTCTCTCCATATAATGAATAAGCACAATTCTGCAAAAACCCTGACACACCGATAATTGTTCACCTTAACAAATTCTATTGTTCGGAAAATAATGCAACCAGTTTTAATTTAATCTAGATACAGGTACTTTATTTACAAATATTTAGATTAATAGCATTTTGTTACATCAAATGAAGAGTACAGCAGTCTGAAATCCTTCTGTCACAAAAACAGACCCACTGTAATTAACTTTGGGAATCGGTATTGCACCTAAATAAGCCAAAGTCTTCAGTTTGTGATTGCTACACCTTATGTCCCAATGGGTGGTTTGTCTTGTTTTGTAAATATATACACACACCAGCAGGTCATGGTCCCTGGGTGAATCCCTAGTGATGCAACAGCGTAAGCAAAATGGATCACTGTAAGTCTTTAACAGAACATGTCAATCTACTCCAGAAATCTTATTTTTTAAAAAGTTAAAGACAAAAATAAAGATGAGTCCACAAACCATCCAAATCCTATTTTCTGCACATTCTAGTTTTGGCTTTAACATTGTACAATACTCTGGAACTACATGTGTATAACCCAGAGAGATGTAATTTTACTTTAGTGTCTGTAAAGAGGGATTTTAAATGTGTACTTTAAACACAGCAGTTGAACTGAGTGCATTTTATGAGATACGCTGGGGTTTACCTGTCCTATACTTCAGATAACTTCCCAACTGCCCGCCACTGAACCATACACTCAGTTAGACATCAACAGAAACAAACTTAGTAAACAAATGTCTGTTGTCTAAAGAAGATTCTCTTACAATGCATATTCCAGTGGCCAAACCACCTAGTGCAAAGTGTAACTTATCAGCACAAACACTGAAACACCATTAGAAACACTTTCCCATTTACAAAACAATTTATGCCAACATGATATAAAATAGCCCCTCATACCAACACAAGGGATAACCCTGGATTATTTCACTACAGTGTTAAAAATGCACAATTTAAAATCCCTTAATAGCTGACTTGTGGTTCTGGCTATCTGGTTTAGAATCTGACCATTCCAAGAAGATAAAGGTATAAAAGCTTAAAATGTGCAATAATAAATCCAGCCTGTTTTCTTTTTCTATACAGTAAGGCAAGAATGCAGCCTGTAATGCAAAATGTTTACAAAAAGAGAAAAGCAGGTTAGCACATTGCCAATTGCACAAGAAGAGTTAAGAAAATCAGCAGGTAAGCCACAGTGCAAAGATGGAACAGAATCTGCTAGTGTTAATCTGCTGACGCTAGGAGCTCTTTTCCAGCACAGCGTCCTCAAACTGCCAGCACCAAGGGTGTAGCCAGTACTACTTGTGAACTGCAGTTGTGTCTATTTCCTTGTGTGAAATGGAAGGGAATAACATGGTCACATACAGGTCATACTGTACAAACTGGTATTTTATACTGTTCCAATGCCAGTAATCAATTTATTTTCTTCATTAAAATAATATACACAGAATGTTGTTAGTTCGGTTCCTTCAAATTTTATACATATTTACTTTGTTAAAGAGAAAAGGATAAAATCATGTAAAAAAAAATAAAGCTATTAAGCACAAGAGAAAAGATAAATGGATATTTTTCCCTGTGCAAGGCTAAGACAGAAGCAAATATGAAGAAAAATGCCACCCCACAATGGAATTTATTCAACAAAAACAAAAGCAGTTATAGAACCCCTTCTCTACCATCAGAAGTCATTTCACAGCAATGAACTTATCAGCTACAAAGAGACATACTCGTACAGTTAAAGATGGGAAGAAAGGCCGGAGATATCATCAAATTAAACCGTACAGTAAGACAAAGCCTTGCAAAAGAGGGAGGGTAAAAATTGTGAAGTCCAGCATCAGTGCTCAGTTTAAATCATATATTGGTGACATACCTATCACGAGGACAATCAAGGGGGGAAAAAAAGTCTAGATTTACCATGCAGGAGAGATTTATTACTCTACTTGCCTTTGATAACCTGATTACATCTAGTTGTTTAGCAGTTTAGTATTGTGTTAAACTGTTTTTACAACAGAGTTTTTTCTCTTTTAATTAAACCCAGTAAGATGTACAGAAGACAACGAGGCAGTAAAAAGTACTGCTTCCAACAGATAGAGATGAAAGGTCAAATGAGGGGCCACAACAAAGAGGTCACTAGCAGCCACAGCCTTCTCTTTGGGGTTGGGGTTCACTGGTTAGCCGGCCTCCCTGTGGGGCTGAGGGTTTGTGTTGTACACCAGACTCAGCAGCATTCAGATCCAGGCTTCCATCCTGAATGTTCTGATAGATTTTCTTGGCAGCCTCCAGAAAAGCATCTTCTACATTCTCTCCCCTAAGAAGCAAATGATAACTTTATTCATGAACCAGACTTTTCTGCAAAAAATAAGACATTATACACTGACCTTTTGCTAACCTTTAGTCAACTGCCATGATGTCTTCAACTTAGCCACTGTTATCTAATAAGAGATTACCAGAAGACTGAACTAAGAGAGTAACATGGGAAAATTTTGGTGGAAAGCTTATGAACATGGTACTAAGAACTGTTTCTACAAACCCTATTTGGATAATTATGTGTGTTCTAATCATTTAAAATGCTGTATGTTAACATACACTGTATGAAATAGGCCATTTTTGAAGCAGGGCACTCCAAACAGAAATAAAGTCTCTCTAAACATGCTGCACAGGATTCCAGAAATGGATCTGATCAAGCATGAACTGTGCCGTTATCATGGGATGATGACACAGTCATGCTTAGCCATATCAGTTCTCTTGGAACCAACAGTACAAATAAGACTAAACAAAAACAGGTTAGCCTCCCCTCATCACTGCAAGGACTTTGGTCTCAATCAATAAAGAAATATGATCGGAAATATTAGGGGTCCAGTAAAGGACAGGGAAGAACAACTAGAAAATGTTCACTATGCTTCTAATTAGACACTATTTCTTTAAGTCATGCTTTTTAACATAAACAGAAATGTATGAACAGGTTAGCCAAGCTTCAGCCCAAAGTGCCAAACTCAACCTTGGTTGTGAAAGTCAAACACTGGAAATACAAAGTTTCATTTATTAACCTGGTTACCAATAGGCATAATCAAAGTACGATGTTTTAAGTAACAAAAATTCACATTATTTTGAAATGTGAAACAGGAAGGGATTTTTGCTTACTATTCTTCCTGAGCACACATATAATATAATATTACACACATAATACATTCTACATATATATGGTTCTACTTTGAGTAAGGGAATATAACTGAAACATGATCTGTATTTCAGCCATACTTACGTTTTTGCACTTGCTTCAAGGAACAATAAGCCTAAAAATAAAATTCAGACTATAATTAGGACATTTCAAACTAACAAAGCACTCTTTCCAGTTACATCTGAATAGGTTCCCATCAGCTGTCAGTACTCTTACCATAGTATTTTATGAAAGAGTATGTGATATTGAGATGGAGGGCATCTTTGTATTTGTTTTAAATAACTATATTCTAAGATGAATTTCACAGAAACAGAAACACATTTCCTCATTCTTGAGATTTTTGAGCAGTCTGCATTTTTTTCAAAATTGTCAAACTTGCAGTATCAAATTCCACCCTGCCTTAGAAATTCTCCCAAGTGTGACTACTAAGTAAAAATAAACCTACCATTTTCTTCAGCAAACTGTTTGGCTTCTTCATACGTAACATCTCTCTGTGCCTCCAAATCTGCTTTATTTCCTATGAGAATTATTACCTAATTTGTGATCAAAAGAAAGACATCTTAAAACCAAAAGAACCATTTAAACTAACAATGCAAATTCTGAAATCCAATATTTTGACAGAAAAAACTGGGTCCAAAATAGGAAATCAAGTATTAGCAATTATCCACCAGGCATTAGTAGTACTAAGAAGCAGCTTAGCAAACACCTAGGCCAGTGGCTGACCAACTATCTACACAGAACAGACTGTGTTTTTCAGTTTGTGGACCCTATATGTTCTCTGTTTTTTTTGTTGTTGTTGTTGTTTTTTGCTGTTTTTGGGTTTTTTTGTTGTTGTTGTTTATAACCCCTTACAAATGTCGAACATTTTTAGCTTGCGGGGCATTCAAAACCAGGCTGTAGGTCCAGCATGTTCCAAAAGCTGTAGTTCACACCTGGTCTAGGCCAACAGTATGATTTCTCTGAGTAAGAGTAAAGGGATATAGGAATGCTGTGAAGTTAAGCACAAAATGTCATAAACATGGACATTTCCCCAAGGAAGACGACTTTCATCAGGCTTTCAAAGATTCTGGAACCCCTGGGAAATTAAAAAACCACTAGCTCAACTCTTTCAGGATACAGGTAAGAAAATTAAAGCTCAAATAAAGCAATGGGTCTTGCCAAAAGCCAGTGGTAAAATATTAGAACCCAGGTAGAAAACCCAAATTGTGACCTACAAATACTGTCCTACCCTATACTATCCTTAGGCCTAAGTTTGTACCAACTAGTAATAAATATCTCTGTATGTATCTATAGGAGGCTGCTGGATGTGGGAGGGGGTCACAAAGGAAACAGATTCAAATCCAGGGCCAAACACTACACACCTATATCCATTCTGGAATTATCTACACTAGAAAAGTTGTGCCACAGCTCTGCAAAACTTTAAGAAAAAAGTATATAGCCTTGGGCAACAGCAGTTTTGACTTTCACTTGGGTATGGAAAGTTAGGATTTATGGATAAACTATATACATATGTATACATAAAGCTTATTTTGGACACCACCAACCACTTCCCTTTGCCAACAGACATACTAATACAGATTAATGTCCACATTATGAAAGAATGGCTTTAACTATAAGGTTTCTACCACTGAATTTTTTTCATGTTAAATTACAGCACTTTACTCTTCCACTCTTAAAAATCTGTGTCCAATGAAGTAAACATTTTTACCTGCATGTGAACTTTTTGCAAAATAGTACAACAAAAGTGAACATTCTTCAATTAATATGAACAAGTGCCCAGTGAGAAGGGAAACATGTTTACATACAGCCTGTTAGTCTTTTGAAGAATAAAATGACACAAATAAAAATCAATTTTTTAGAATCCAGCCTGGTACAGTGACAATGTACTAAAAGGACACTCAAAACAAGAAATACTGCTTCCCGGGCTGGGACTGGTAGAGTGTGTAGTTAGCATGCCATAGTTTCAATCCCCAGCACCCCGCCGCCCCCCCCCCCACAAAGGTGGGAAGAGAAAGGAAAAGAAAAAAAGAAAAATACTGCTTTCTTCTCAATACTTTCTGTATTTCCTTGCAGGGGATGCATAAAATGGCATGCTAGTAACACTGAGGTACAAAAGACAGCAATAAAATGAGAAAATATATAACTTCTACATAGAAACGAAAGACAACAGTATTTGAGCAGTACCTCAAAGAGATTTTTTCTTCCTGAAGATCTGGTTAAATTTCGAAAGGTATAAAAGAAGCACGAAGAATATGCTTAACTTTTTCACTACACTCCTCCATGGGCCCTCTACACTGAGTTTTTCTGTTTTTAACATTTTACTTTAAGTAACTACAGACTGGCACACACACACAAAAATATCAGAAATCTTGTGTACCTTTTACTCACCTTCCCCAATGGTAGCAACTACACCTTATTCTCTCAAAACTAGGAAATCGACATTGGTACATTCTATAGCTCCTTACATTTCAATTTTTACATGCTTTTGTCTGTGTGGTTGTATGTATAGTTCTATGCAATTTTATCACAGGTATAGATTTCTGTCCCCATAATTAGGATACAGAACTGCCCCACTTCTTCAGAGGCACTGCTCTGTGCTGTCTTCATAGTCACACCCAGTCCACGTTCCACCCCCATCAGTAACCCCATCAATCACTAATTTGTTCTCCCTCTCTACAGTTTTGTCATTATGAAAATGTTGTAAATGGAATCACTCAATATGCAGCCTTTTGAGATTGTGGTCATGTTGTTGGTTTTGTTTTCTGATTTTTACTCAGCATAATGCCCTTGCCATCCATCTAAGTTGTTACGTGTGCCAACAAGTCATTCCTGTGTGGCTGAGTAATACTCCATAGTGCAGATGTACCAGACTGTTTATTCACTATCTATGGCCAGCTGGATTGCTTCCAGTTTTTGGCTTCTGCAAATAAAGCTGCAATGAACATTCATCTATAAGTTTGTATGCACACCAACAATGGGTTTAATGTGACAATGGAAAAAAAAGTTCTAGGCCCAGTTCTAGCAGAGCAGTCATGCTGTGTCAACTGACTTTTAATTTTTATTAAATTGTTGTTCCCTGATAAGGTGCAATCTTACCATTGATTACATATCGAACTTTGCTTCTACGAGGCACTGCGGGTATAAAGCTAAATGAGACACAGGGCCTATTCTTGAGAAGCTCAGTGGTTTTCCTCTCACTGTTCCTAAAATACCCTTCCTAGCATCTAAGGAAATCTTACCCAAGACCCAACTCACTCTCCATTCCTCTGTAAAGCTGGTTTCTCGACAGGGCACTGCTCATCCCTGGCTCCACAACACTGTAGCAGTCACTATTTCTAACTCATTTCACAATCTGCTTTGCAACATACCAATCTGTATATATGCTTGCTGGTTCTCTCTCAGCTAGATTTCAACATCTTGGGGACCAAGAACAAGAGCTTATCTTTCCATACTGCAGAATCTAGCATGGAGACTGGCCTTTAAAAATCTCAATAAAGGCCAGGGATTTAGAGCTCAGTGGTTCCTCCGCCTGCATCGCAAGCGCAAGGTCCCAAGTTCGATCCCCAGTACCAATAAAAAATAAATAAAAATAAAAATCCCAATAAATATTACCTCAGTCTGGTTAAAAGCCTCTTTTTAAAAACCATGCAGAATATTTTTAAAAATTAAAGTCTTATGATAACTGTAGAATCATATAGTTCTAAGAAATAGAACAGATATCCCTTGTACATTGTGCCCAGTTTCCTCCAATGTTAATATTTTACAAAACTAATACAAAGCCTTTCTAAAACTATAATTTCAGATTTCAGTGTACACTTGACATGAGATCACCACCCTGTTCATATTTTTTTAAACCCAAAAATATGAACAAAAATCAAGAGTAGTGAAGTGGCAGTCAGACCTGAAAAGTGTTTTCTTCAGTTCATTCAAGAATAAAATAAAGATTCTCTCATTCATAATGTCAAATGTAAAAATCTCACCAGTAAAAGGCTTTCCTGTTTGGGTTAGTTTGTATCTTAAATTTTCTGTATAGTAAAATGTTATTTAACTTACAGTATTTGGATTGGTGAGATTCCTTGCATCTGTCAACCAGCTGCTTAAATGGTTATATGTACTTCTTCTGCAAAAGTTAAAGTTTAAAGTTACTGACTTCCATATACAATCATCAAACAGAAAAAGAAATTCCAATACATATTTAAAATATATACTTAAATAGTTCATAAGTCTCTTTTCAATTTGACTACTCTGAAGAACAATGTGAAATGCAAACACACAATTTTCAAGTCCAGCCAAACTCATTTTTAAATAAGTCAATATCCAACAGCTATGCTAACAATATATCAGAAGTAAACTGTTTACATCTAAAAGCAATCCTAAACAGATCAATAAGCAAAGAAAATTCTGAATCGGGATTTCTAATGTGAAGTCAAAATTAAAATGATCTTGAAATCATCTAGATTTTCAATCACAAAATGTATATGAAGTACTATCAATATGCCTAGCCAATGACAGTCAATGGAAAACATTTTTGTATCTGCCCTTAAATTTCAATTAGACACCAAGATAATCACACTGTAAAATGGTACATAATTCATCTTTCCTCAATAAAAGATTAACTACAAAGCATAAAAACAGCCTTTAAAGGCATTTAATACATTTGACTGGAAATTCAAGTCCCCACATATTAGAAAGTTTATCCTAATTTTGTACTCTACTGACAGTTTGGGGATTCAGACTGGCATTACTTCTCTCCTTTCTCTAAGGGAGAGTTTAAAAACTCATTTGGCTCATTTGCCAAATCAGCCCTAAATAAAAAACCAACTCAAATACCAAAGTTGGGTAAACTTATGATAATTTATAATTTTCTGACTTTATCAGAACCTAAACCTATCACTAAACTGAGGAACATCTGCAATGTACAATTTACAATGTTATACCGTTAAAATCTACTAAAGAGAATAAAATAAGATTACTGAAGTTAAAAATGTTTGACTTGAAGACCCAAAGAACATTAACCTATCCTGTTCATTTCACATGAATAAACAGAAGCCCATAAAGAATTAAAACAGCAGAATAAGGCCCAGAAGCTTTTCCTCATAGTGTTTCTAGTTTAGCCTTGCAAATATATTTTCTGATTTCCAGCTGCTAGTGCTCAGTAATATTGACTATTCCAAATACTTAAACTTTCTCCAGTGGGAAACGAAAAGAATTCCCTACTCAGATTTTTTTGGGGGGGGCAGGCATTATATCATATTGTACATAAGTCACTACCTACCTAAACGTCAAAAAAAAAAAAGTCACAAACCTCATTTCCCCAACAGTTTAACATTTTCTAAGCAAACAATGGTCAAATATTTATAGAAGTACAAGCTTTTACCACTGTTCAATATTTGTCAACAGTGACTTTATAGAACGAAAATGTTTTTCTTTGTGTATAAATGTTAAGTCCAAACATACTGACTATGAATTTAAATTTTAAAACAGGAAGAGGGGTGAATTATAAACTGACACCATTCTAATAAAAAGAAAAGCCTACATACACATCCTTTGTTAGTATTATCAAGATCATATAATACATTATTATTTACATGTACTGTACTTTATTTCTACCCATGAGTCAGGTAATTGTTACTAGTTTATAGTTCACTGTAATCATAATTTTAAATCTGTGAATATAATGGAGGTGTCATTCAAATAAATATTCCTTAGTTGGAGGTACTAGTGCTGAAAAAAAAAATACTAAAATATTCCTGACTTTGGGGTGGATATTAGATATATCCAACAGATTTAGCCAAACAATTGCCAAGGTAAGCTTGGTGTCAACTTAGAAAAGCATCCCATAACAATTATAGTTAATGTCAAAAATAAGTATTACTGAAACAGGAACTACCATATTTGCAAAATGTCAAGGACTGCCAAAAGAAAAAATTGGGGGAAAAACTGGCACCATGACTCCAATATCAATGTCAATAAAATCAAAAAGTGACAATGATACTATAAAGTGTCAAAATCAAGAAAGCACCAAAAAAAAAAGAAAGCATCTGTCTACAGCTAAGGTACCTTTTTTCAGTAACAGTTACACTGAGATGTCATGATCGTACTATATAAAGCTTACCACATTCAAGTACACAATTTTGTTGTTTTTAGCATATCCACAAAGTTGGGCACTGATCACCACTATCTAATTCTAGAACATTTTATAGGACCAGAGAGAAATTCTATATGCATAATTCTCCATGCCTTGGGAATTTTCTTTCTGTCTCTACATTTGCCTATTCTGAGTATTTCATAAATGGAATTATAAAATATATGCCCTTTTGTGTCTGGTTTCTTTCATTTAGCATAATGTTTTCAAGGTTCACCCACAGGTCGCATGTATAAGTATTTCATTCCCTTTTAAAGCTGAAAAACATTCTGTCATATGGATATATCACATTATATTTATCCTTTATCAGTTAATGGTTTTTTCTGTTGTTTCTACATAAAACACTTCTGGTGCCTGCAGTAGACACAGATTTTACTGTATTTACTATGCTTAAAGGATATGTTTAAAAGCGAAAACAAATTACATTTCAAGCACACATCATATTTAAATTAATAATGCATGGAGTTTTTAATTATACAAGCCTTCAGGAATGCCGTACTCATAAAATAAGACAGTTCTGCACAGATGGTCAGGTTCTTTAACAGTCATTCTACAGTATCATTCACTCATCATGTTACCAACCACCTGGCTTCAGTGAGGACCATTAAGGCTTGGCTCACTGTTTTGCCAAGACCATCCAGTTCTAGAATTTACTGAGACTTTATGTACTATAATTACAGGAAGACACTCTTTATTCTAAGGCACCATTTCCCAAAGTGTGTTCCTCAGTAAAATACATAAGAAACACCAAATTAAACAGTAAAAAGTTTTCTGACTACATAACTTCTCAGGGTCCTAACATGCTAATGTACACTGTGACTCTTTGAGAGGAAAAGTATAAAGCATTTCCCAAACAGAAATATGCTTCAAAGTAATTATCACTTGGTCCCACTCACCTATCTCTACCCCCTCAAAGAGTCATGCTGCTTTTGACTACTCTCCATAAACAAGAGAGAGGGTTCATTTAACAGCACAGAATCTAATGGAGTGGCAATTTTCCATGTTCTCCAAAGTCAAACCTTTACAGACCAGCTTTGTTAGTTTTTATCAACTGCTTTGAGTTTCCAGAAACAGCCATGCTGACATAAAAGGGTTTTTTTCCCAGTACTGGGGATCAAACTCAGGACCTTGAGCTTATGAGTGCCACTGCACTAAATCCCCGGCCTGATGTTGACATAAATTTAATCCTGCTGCAGGTAGCATTTTATCTTTTTATTTTTTTGCAGTAGTGGGGAACTCAGGAACTCAGGACCTTGCGCCTGTGAAGCAGGGATAACACCATTGAGCTAAATCCTCAAATACTTGCGCTAAGCCCAAGGTAACATTTTAAATCACTTCAATCCATGTTAGGACAAAAAAAGAATTTAAGCAAAACAATTAAAAATTCAAGTGTTATCTATAAATCACCACTAAAGTTTAAAAAAAAGTCGTGTGTTTCATGAGATCTCTTTATAGTCCATTATACCCAATTAACAAAATTATATATTTAATTCTTTCTTTGGCCTTATTTTCAGAAAGTGTAAATTTTAATGCTAAACACCAAACAGACTCAAGAAACTGCTTACTTCCTACTTAAGTGAAAAAAAGTTTCATACAAATCATTTGTCATAGCCAAGCATCATGGTACACACCTCTGTAATCCCATCTACTCAGGAGGCTGAGGCCTGGGCAACTCACCAAGAACTTGTCTCAAAATAAAAAGGACTGAGGTTACATAGCTCAATGGTACAGCACCTGCTTAGCACACATGAGGCTGAGTTCAATCCCAAGTACCACACACACACAAAAAAATGTTTCTGAAACAGTTCAAGTGATACTGCTTTTCAGAACTGTATTCAGTTCTGAACTCACCATCTAAATTTTTTCTTCAATCACACTAGCTTTCAGAAAATAAAATTAACATGTTATATCAAGTTTTACACAGCAACTTAAAAGCCAAATTATAAATGCAACTTAGAGAAGCCAAATTATAAATGCATTTAGTCATCCAATTACAAATTAAGGAATGCCTACATCAATTAAAAAAGAAACATTAACCAGGGTAAATTCTATTGTAAAGTATAAAGATTGAAAAGTTATTCACCTCTTACCTAGTGATATCATACACCATAAGTGCACCTGCAGCTCCTCTGTAGTAGCTTCGTGTAACAGCTCTAAACCGCTCTTGTCCTGCTGTATCCCATATCTGCAGTTTGATTTTTTGGCCACTAACTTCAATAATTCTTGTACCAAATTCAACACCAATTGTGTGAGGACAATCAGCCATAACTGTAAGGGGGGAAAAAAATCCCACCTTTCAGAAAACTTAAGACTAGTGGAGTTAAATACTAATATTTATAAGCTAAAGGCTAATTCTACCACTTGGGGAGGTGGCACAGCAAAGATTTAGAAGTCAGGGAAATAAATGTGACTGGACTAGAGTAAGGGTTAGCAAAACTTCTGTAAAGAGCCAAAAGATAAACATTTTTAAGTTTTGTGGGCCAAAAGGTCTCTCTCACAACTACTCAAACCTTCCTCTGAAACATGAAAGGAGTCACAGACAATACATAAAATAGATATGCTTATTTCCCAGTAAAACTTTATTTATTAAAACAGGCAGGGCCAAGGATTTAGCTCAGTGGTTCTGCCGCCTGCCTTGCAAGCGCCAAGGGCCTGAGTTCAATCCCTGGTACCAAAAAAAAACCCCTCTATGGCAGGTCAGAAATATAGCTCAGCAGCACAGTGCCTGCCTGGCAAGCACAAGGCCCTGAGTCCAATTCCAGGTACAAAAAACCCAAAAAAACAATAACAACAACTCTATGTTAAGCAGCACAAAAATGCTATAGAAATAATTTTAACAATATAGAAACAATTTCAAGTATATTTAGCACATCCGTTACTATAAATTGGCCCCTTACTCTGTCACCCGAGATAAGAGCTGTACTCTGAATTTTAACAGGTCGGGGAACATAGAAGAATACTATTTTAAGTATCTCACATCTGAGTTAACAAATTATATATGCACCAAATACTCTATAATGAGATAACAAATTTCTGTAACAAAATGAAAGAATAATAAGATTTAAATTTGACAATTGTTCTATGTATTTAAAAAAAATTAACTTTGTTTTGATCATTATAAAATCTCAACAAGTGGATCAGATTATATATCACATACAAGTCAACAGTCTAAAATACCAGTGGTAATATTTCATTTCATCTGCACCTACTTAAAAAATCACGGTACCTAAGGGAAAAGTGCAAATATAGGAAAAGACTATATTTAAATGCATAAAGCACAATGAAAATGATTGTTTAAAAAGTAGAAATGTGATAATAAAGAAAAGTACTGTTTTACCTCACATATTGAACTTACATTTTTTTTCTGTAAACTGATGAAGCAAGCAAGATTTTCCTACTCCCATGTCCCCTGTTTAAAAAAAAGCATGAAGCGGCAATTAAATTTCTCAATTTTATACCCTTATACGCAATGACTGCTATTTCCCTTACCATAACACATCAAAAGTTTCTGAGGAAAAAAAAAGTTTCTGGGATACTTTTTAAATTTTTAAACTCTTTCAAAGTTTTATGAGTTCCTCCTCCTTAACCCATGCACAGAGGAAAAAGAGTAACAAATAAGGCAGCATACGACACCCCAAAATAACTGGTCTTGTCTTACCTCTCAATTTTTGTATTTTTTTGTAGAATTTCATAAAATAAAATAATTAATTTATATTACATAAAAACAAACCATAATAAAAGCCTGAAGTATTACAAAATTACATAAACTTAATAATACAGCAAACTGCTGTAATGTGACGAATTCATTGAAAAGCATTTGGACTTTCACTGAACTAAATCCCTGGCCCTTTCATCTGTAATCTTACAACTATGCATGGATAAACAGCATTAAAACTTAGTATGAGCATAACCTTCTTGAAATTTAAGGGAAAAATACCAATAATTTTATGTGTACTATATAACTTATTTTGAATGAAACAATGTTCTCTACCAATTTTGGTAGAGACTTTCATAGTACTTTTGGAATATGTTAGTCCTACTAAGAAATTAACCTCATTTCCATTAACCCAGCACTATACTACAGAAGTATCCAGGGCCACAATGTAAAAGCTACACTTAGCTTCATCAAAGTTTAGTTCTAAAGTAAGACATAGTTCACTTCTTCTGTAGTGGTATGTTTCAAATGTTCTGTATGTTAACCTTCCCAGGGAATGAGAGTGTAAGTTAAATAAACTTACCAATAATAATATATTTAAAGATGTAAGAGTAGTTGTATGGTGCAGTTGCCATGGTGGCACTAAAAACAAAGAAAACTGTATTACTTCAGAAAGAAAGTACACACAAATTATCCACATTTATCACTGCTATCCTTTAAAAAAAAATGTTCTGTAAAGATACATATATATGTGTATATAAATATATACTAAAGTATCCTGATTACAAACAAAATGTTGGTTACAGTAAGTCAGTAAAACTGTATTTCCCAAATTGATCAATAAACAAAAACTCCTGAATGAATGTTATAACATCCTCATGCATTTATTCAAAGAAATGAGAAAATATATATACCCAAAACTCCAATATTTCACTTCAGGAAATAGCAAAAAGAAATGTTAGTTTGGAAAACTACAAACAAGAAAATCTTTATATAAATTTAAGCTAAACATCACTATAATCATCTCTCCCTTAAGATCCCCTTCTCTGATAACTGATCAATTAGGTTCTGATAGTCCACTTGTCAGAAATGGTTTTAAACAGAATGGTATAAAAAGTAACCACTACTTACAAGCATAACTTTTAAATTCTGATGTTAAAATTAGGTTAAATCACATAAAATTCTTACAGATTAAAAAAAGAAGGGATGTCAATTATTACTGGCAATTTCATATGGCTGAACTTATATAAAACTTGTAGAGTAACAATACACTAAGTGCCTGCTATATACTATCCTAGGAGGTAAGAAATACTACTTACACTTGTCCTTTAAAATTTTTGAAGTTTCTATAATAAGATATTTTAAAAGATTACAGCCCCATTCCTTAACCTCACAGACTTAACCTAAACATTTATTTTATTTTTTTTTGGTACCAGGAATCAAACTCGGGACCTTGTGCTTGGGTGGCGGGCGCCAGAACCACTGAGTTAAATCCCTGGCCCTAAACATTTATTTTAATAATTTAAAAAAAATTTTTTCTGAGCAGGGGATGGTGGCAAATGCCTCTAGTTTCAGCTACTCAAGAGGCTGAGACAGGACTCACTGCTTGCAACCAGCCTGAGACATATACACCAAGAACCATACTCAACAACAAAAAATCTCTCTAAATAATTCAGTATGTCAGACACTGTGCTAAGTGCTAGAGAAACAAAGGATAAACTCTAATATCAGTAGTAACTTCTAATAAAATTTATTATCAGTTTTCAGCTTAAGGAAAGTAAAAAATTCCATATATATAAACTTAACCTATTTAAAAAAATTTGATTTGTACAGTACTGGTCAATATCACATTACACAGTGTGATATGACTGGAGAAAGTCCTTTGTTGAAATTAACACATTATATACTGTATTTCAAATAAAATATCTATGAAGCTAAGAAAAAATTTAACCTGTAGAATGTTTACCATAAATGATCATCAAGAAAGAGGAACTTCTTAATTATAATAAGTTATTGAACAATCCCTGAACATAATATAGTCTTCTTACTTAGCTATATGAAGGTATTACACTCAGTACAAATAGGTGCCTTGCTCCCCACTCCAGCCTGGCATGTTGTAACACATTTATAATCAGTCTTCTACATCACAGAAAACTTCCTTAACCAGTTCTTTCAGGAGAAGGAGTTTTTCTAGTTAGATTAACTACAATTCTGAGGACAACTTTCACTTCTTTTCCAGACACCAGTGATGCAAAACTTAAAAATGAACTTGTTCTTGAAGCTAAACTTGCTCTGAATTATTCACCAGCTCTCGGAAACAGATGCTAACAAGGCAAAAAAAAAAAATCTCTTAAATTAGAAATAATATTTCAAGGTTATTAACTTCTTAACCAGCCTTACCTTTTCTGTGTGAAAGGAGTACAGACTCTGTCTAATAAATTTTAATTCTTAAAATTCTTTCCCTATTCAAACTTGTGTAAAAGTAATTGGTCAACCCTGAATTACTGTATCTACTATGCTCTTCCTCTTGATTTTCCTATTTCTCTTCCCTCTTGTAACTAAAAGTTATAGCTTTACATTCTTTGTTTCCTTCTATTTTACTGTTAAAATTACAGGGGTTTGGGGCATGAAGTAGTAGAACACAGGCTTAGCATGCACAAGGTGCTGAGTTCAATCCGCAGCATGCACACATACACACACACTAATATGGCCTCTAATAATTCCAATTTATACTTCAAATGGTCTAAACATGAAATTATAACCCAATTATAGTTGTAATAATTTGTGTACCTGCTAATTACTAGGCAAAACATTATCTACAAAGATAACTAATTTAAAAAAATAATTTTAAGCATTAATACAAACATTTCAAAACAAAATAAACACCATTTCAGGTAGAATATCAGCACTGTGTCTTCATTTCATCAGACAATTTTTGGTCTCCAGTTTTTTAAAAATTACAATAAAAATCCTAAAAGAATTAGAGGAAAATTACTCAAAAACTCATTAACTTCTGTACACAAAGAAGGCAGAAAACATCTAACACTGTAGCCACTGAGTAATAAGTCCTCCTTTTCTTATTCTAAGAAACTGGTAGGTTTAAATATATTCCCATAGTTCACAGATACATTCAGTCAAAATCATACATTTGAGAACTATATTCAAAGGGTCCCTTTTAACTGTTTCCCTTTTAACTATGTTTAACAACATTGCTTTAACAATGGATTTCTCATCCGTATGGAGATACCTCAAAGAACTAGGACTAGAGGTCCCATTTGACCCAGCTATTCCCCTACTGGGAATCTTCCCCAAAGAATTAAAAGAATCATACCACAGCGATATATGTGCACCTATGTTTATAGTGGCACAGTTTGT